GACCTGAAGACAGCCAGAGTCACAAAAACCACAACCCAACTTTGAGTCAGCTCAGTCCCTAGCTGCCCACCAGGGAATAGGGTGAATTCTCTCTGGAGGAACAGCCTCTACAATTTTTTTCCTTCACACTGCATAGCATTAAATCAAAAAGCACACCAAGAAGCAGAACAAAAGAAATAGACAACAGAAAGAAATCCACATGTAACTAGATACTCGTGTTATCAGACACAGGCTTTAAATAAACTGAGTAATATGTTTTAAGAAAATAGGCAATTTCACCAGAGACCTAGAACCTATAAAGAATCTAATGAAAATTGAAATGGTTATTGAAAAACACAATAACCAAAATTAAGAATACAACTAGATGGATTTAACAGCACACTGGACATAGCTAGAGTCGATGGATTTGGCAAATAAAAATAGAGGATACCCAGTTAAATTAGAATTTCAGATAAACAACCAATAATTTTTAGTATAAAGATCCCCCATTCAAAATTTGAGACATATTCTAAAAAATTATTCACTGTTTACTGAAATTCAGATTTAATGGGATGTCCTTTATTTCATCTGGCAAAACTAGACACAGCTAAATAGCAGATTCACTCAGTAGAAAATATCCAGACCAAAGTACAGGAATCAAATAGGACAGAAAATACAAAAAGGAGTGAAAGAGACATTTGAGACATGGCGAAAGAGTCTAAGATACATAAAACTGGAGTCCTCGAAGAGGACAGAAAAATGAATCAGAAGCAATATTTAAAGTGATAATGGCTGAGAAGTTTCCCAGTGTGATTCATGAAGTGGAGAATAAAAGCAAAACAAAACAAAAAACGGACCCAGGCCCATCATAACAAAACTGATGAAAAACAGAGAAGCATCTTCGAATCATTCAGGGGATAAAGAAAAAAACACCATATCTTCAAAGGAACAGCAATAAGACTAACAACTGACTTATGAATATAAATAGTGAAAGGCAGAAGACCATGGAATGAAAACTTACAAAAATAATAACTTCCAACCTCAAATTCTATTCCCAATGAAATATCCTTCAAAAATGAAGACAAATAAAGACATTTCCAATCAAATAAAAACTAGGAGAATGCATCATTAACACAGGCTTAAAAAGAAATACTTAAAGGGAGTTGTTCAGGCAGAAGGAAAAAGATCCCAGACAGAAACACTGAAATACAGGAAGGAATGAAGAGCAATGGAAAGGAAATATGTCAGCAAATCGAAGTGAATATTAACTATGTGACATTAACAACAATGTTAATCACATGAGGTTAAACATACAGACAATGAGAATACACAAAAAATAGAAAATGGTGGAAAGTGGAATTAAATGGAATTTTAAGTGTCTAAAGCCCTTAAGGGGTTGAAAAAAAATACTAGTTTTTCTTCGACTCTTACAAACTAAGAACGCATGTTGAAATCACAAGGATAATCAGTGAACGGCCAGCAAAAAAATAAATAAGCTAATGGAAGTGAAAAATCTGGAATTTAAAAATGCTTGATTCATCTAAAAGCATGAAAAAAGAGAGAAATATAAAACAGGCGAGACAGATATCAAAGAAACCAGTAAGATAGTAGATAAAACCAATACATTAGTAATGACATTGAATGTAAATAAATCAAGCACCCCAATTAAGACTCTCAATGATTGTGTAGATACTATTGTCCACATTCTACAGGTGAAGAATTTGAGGCACACAGATTGAGTAACCTGCCCAAGGTTGTCCAGCTAGCAAGACGTGGCACCAGGATTCAAACCCAGAAGCCTGCTTGTGGGCCTGACCACATCGCCTCTCCAGATGCTCCCCTGCTCTCCATCCACCCAGCACTGCTTTAGCTCAGCCCTTTCAGAGACTGCACCCAGATTCCTGCAACGAGCTCCTAACTGGGCTCTCTGGTGTCACACTGTTGCCATGGTGACCATGTTGAAGCACAAACTATATCTCATCTCTCCCCTAAATTAAAATCTCTTCCTGGATTCCCATATACTTCAGGACAAATGTAGCAGGTCATAAAAGGTGCCTCTAGATGAGGCCTCTGCTGCCCCCCCTGCCCCTGCATCCACTGCTTCCAGCCTTCCTGCCCTACATTCCAGAAAGTGCCAGACATTTCCCTTGCCTGGAATGTGTTATGCTCCAATGCCCCCTCCTCTGACCCCATGAGGTGGCATTGACTATCTCCCATCACTATTGTTATAATGACAAGTGACAACATTCACTGAGGGCTTTCTCTGCACCTGCACAGGCTGAACACTTCATAGGTGTCATTCCCATTTAGCCCTCCCCAACTCTGCAGTGCACATATTACTATTCTTCATCTTGTAGCTGGAACTCAGAATGGTTGCCAAAGATTAACCAGGAAACCCATTAATTCAATCAGTAAATATTTACTAAGTTACTACTATGTGCCTGGCATGCTCCTAGGTGCTGGGAAAAGGGCAGTAAGTGATATGCAGAAAATAAAGTAGGGTGGAGGCAGAGGACATGAAGTAGATTGCAATGTCAGAAGGGTGGTCAGGGAAGGACTTAACAAGCAGGTGACACTCAGCAGGGAATGAGTGTCTCCTCTCATCTTAGAGAACAGCATTCTAAGCACAACAGCAAGTATGCCAGAAGTGGAAGATGCCTCAGGGGAAGGGCAATGAGTGAACAGTGACACTCACTGAAATGTCATCTATTCACCAACTCAACCCCGATTCAAGAGTGCACTCCTCGGGGTATGGCCATATCTCCAGCAGCTGGGCACACAGGAGGCATTGCTAAATGAAGGAAATTGGACGGTGATCCTGAGCAAGACAGTAAGATGCTCCTTCCCACCACGGCCTTTTGTGGTGGTGGAACCCTGAGGCTGACGCTGTCCATCCGCAGTCCACACTGCACAGTCCTGCCATGCCTTCCATTCTCCCTCTTGGAGGGAAAAGACACATCTGACACCCTGGTCCCTGAGTCTCTGGAACTGGATCTGTATACTGGGAGCCTCTGTGGATTTTTCCTAAACAGAGGAAAGACACAGCAGGCAATCCAGCTGGATGCAGCATACTCGAGACCCTGCCAGCAGCAGGAAGCCTGATTTCGACAAAACACTGTGGTCTCACTCACATCATCTTCCCACTGTCCTCAAGAAAAATGGAGCTTTTATAAATCCAAAGAGCAAGTCAAATTAATGTCATATCCCTGAAGGCTCTAAGAAATGCGGTGCAAGGCCACTGAGTTATTTGGCATAATGCAAAAATTTATCACTAAGTAAGAGACAAGCCCTTGTCCACTCTCTGTATAGCAAAGGTTGGCAAGGGGTAAAAAACATGGCTAAGAACAGATCAACCAAGACTGAATTCCAGAGGGTTCTACAGGAGTTAGACCCAATCCACCCAGAGAGGTGAAATCTACCAGATGACAGGCGTGGAGATACCTAAGAAAGGGAAGAGGGCTGCAAAGAGGAAAACCAAAATACCCTCTTGGGAGAACTCAGGATCCCACCTGAGGAAGAGAAAGGGGCCACTGGGGGTGAGAGATAGGCCTCAAGCCACATCCTGCTGGGTCAGAAGGGCCTAGAGTCCGTATCTCGGGGCAGATAAACACACAGGAACATGTGGTGCAGGGTAAGGGGCGTGATTGTGCCTGTGCTCTCTTCCAGAAGGTTTACAGAGGTGCAAGTGTTCAGAGGGAGGAAGACCATTAAGTATTTAAAAATAAGCTTCCAAATTCTAAGGAGACAGATAAAATGATTCTTAAATATTTGCATAACTATTAAATCTATATATTTTATGACATGTGAACACTTCCAGGCACAATAAAGCCTCTTGAATAATCAGCATGCAACACAGTGAAAGTCTTTAATAGAACCTAAAGCAAAATTTCACTGTTTAAAATTAGTGAAGTTTATAAGTGTTGCACCTTGGGTTTTATGATAGGCATGTATCTTGTATATCCCCACATATCTCAGGCTTGATGGCACCCATCCTTGGTTAGGAACACAGCCTCCCTGCCCCAACCCTAAAACATAATGCTGTGTTTTAGGAAAGTGAGATGTGCTCTGTGTCCAGCAGTTTCTGGGAACAAATGATGGCTGGTGGAGCTCACAGAGGCGGAAGCCCGTTTGGTTACACCATACTCCTCACCTCACACAGAGTAAGCACCTCCCCACTCACAGAAGAGGCTAAGGACCTGCAGGCTGGACCTTTAAAACACACTCGATAATGGCAATCTTCAGAGCCCCCAAGTGGTCACAAGTGATGTGACATCCACAATTGGGAGTTCTGTGCTGAGGGTGGGAAAGATAGCTGGAAAAAATGTTGTCAGAACAGGATGGTTAAAAACGAAGACACTGGGCCAGCCTGGTGGCGCACTGGAGAGTGCGCCGCTTGGGAGCGCGGCGGCGCTCCCGCCGAGGGTTCGGATCCCATGTGGAGACCGGTTCCCACTCACTGGCTGAGCGTGGTGCAGGCGCAACACCGAGGGTTGCGATCCCGTTGCCGGTCCCCAGCACGGGCGTGACCCTGAGGGTTGCGATCCCGTTACCGGTCAGTAAAAAAGACAAAAAGGAAAAAAAAAAAAAACGAAGACACTGAATGTCAGGGTTAAGAGAGGGCTGAGAAAAGAATGTTCACTTTTATATTGCTCTTTCTTCCATCATAAAAATTTGGTAAAAGAGGGAAAATAATATGAAATGCTGGAAGTCTGCTGGAATTGAGTCAAAATATGAGTTTCTGTCCAGCCCCATGGTCCAGGACAAATTTCCCCTGGTCTCTCATGGAGAAAATGGGATTAATAATCCCCGATTGTGAAAAATATATAAGCATGGATGTGATTTTTTGTCTAAACTTTTACATAAAGTCTCTATATGTATCTTTTTCTGTAACTTGCTTTTTAAACTTAACACTGCAATTTTAAAGCATTCTGTATAGATTAATGCAGTACAATAATATTATTAGTTAACACCAAAAAGGTATTGGTTGGCAAGGAGGAGAAAAGAGGAATATGGCCTGAAGAGGGCATTATGTAATAAATTTATTTTGTTACATTTTCCACTTTTCTCTTAATTCCAATTGTATACTATATAATGAATGGCTATTTCAGAAATAAAACATTTGTAACATAAAAATAAATTCTGCTTCTTAAAAGTGCATATACCATGAATAATAAAACATACAAATAAATAACAGAAGTCAGTGGCACACCTCATGCACTTGTTCTAAAATAATTTAAAATATATGAGACACTTTTCTTCCAGCCTCTAGGAAAGACATCCTGCCCTCCATATTAGCATACAACTAAAGAAGAAAATCATATAGAAGTCACTATCGATGCTGCGTAAACAATACTGAAGCATTGTGATACGACAGTGATGTCATGCAGCTTTTGAGACAACTATAAAAATTCCAGTGTGAAAACTGAAGAGTTCATTCAAGAAACTATTTTTGTAATGGGGCTTAAATTCAATTTTAACCAGTGGTGAGAGGCACAGTTGGTGAGCAAACCTATACGGACCATAAATGCGTATTTGAAAGGCCCACAAAGAACTTCAGCTTTGGAAATACTGTAACTGCCTTTCCATTTGGTATGATGATACCACTCCACTTAGAATAGCACCTAGGAAATTTCATATTGCGCTTTCACGACTGCAACAGATATCACTACGCTGGGTGGCCTTTCTAAAGAAGCATTTCCAACTTGAACTTCTACTTATATCTTTTATTCCTTAAAATGTTGAATACACCAGGTAAAGTGTTTGTTTATTTTTGTAGATAGCACAGTGCTCAACAGGATAAAACCACATGAGCACAGCAGATTATATTTAAGATGTCGGAGTGCATTCAGCTCACCACAGATTAAAACTGAATTTCATCTAACTCCATAGGTAACATAAACTACCAAATTTTTGGATGAGGATTACTTGATTTTTAAAAAAATACATGAAAAGAGAAAAAAATATCGAGGGTTGCCAACAACAAAACACAAAAAATACTCCAAATAAGATGTTTCACATTCATTTTCAAACTAAAAAGAATTTCTGAAACTACATTCTGGATAAGTAAGAACTATAGCAGAGAATGAGCTAAGTAGAAAATTCAGCAGCAGCCTGGGGTTTGCTATTGTAATTACTACAAAAAGGAAATTGGATCTATAAAAAGCAGGGACAGGTTTTCCAAGGCTGGAAAGGCTGTTGACTTCCCTGCTCTCCCATGGGTCTTGGCCCTGTGGTGGAAACTGGAGGAAAGGCTCTGGGGAAGGATGCGAACCCAATGGGGCACTCTGCCTGCTCCAGCACCTAAAACCACCATTTCCCAACAGAATGGCAAGCGCTAGGCCACCCACAAAATGCTCCAAGCTCCCAAATCAGGCCTTGAATCAGAAAGACCCCCATACTTCAAACAGGTTAGTATCAGTGGTTCTCAATCTTTTTGGTGTTTTTTTTTTTTTTAAGCCTCTCCAACACAACTGAAGAATTGGAGTCACTCCTGAGTGCTTGCTATGGCAGTAATTCTCACTACAACTCTCAGCAAAGGGAAGGCATGCCAACATGATTCTCAATTCTGACTGCAATTAGAGATACCCAGGAGCTCAAAAATAGACAGGAATACCTGGGACCCAACCCTACACTAATTAGATCAAAAGCTTAGGGCTTGGACCCAGGCACTATATTTTCACAAGTTCCCTAGATGATTCTAGTGAACATGGGTATCACAATCTCAGACAAGTCACTCAGAAGAGGCTTAACCAGATCTTGGGGAGAATACATGTGTGGTTCCAAAAAGCCTCTCAAGTCTGCTATGAATCCCCCTTCTCCCCAAAATTGGGAAACAAGGGTTTTAAATGAATGTGAGATGGATCTAGAACCTAATCTACTATACAACACTACCATAAATTCCATGGGCTTAATTAGTCTTATTGTGACCAGTGGTTGGGAAGGTCCAAAGCTTTCCAAAACAGCTCTAAGTTTCTACAAAAGCATTTAAAAATTGTTAGCACTATTTGAAGCCACATCCTCCCCTAGTGACCACAATAGAACCCTAGAAGATATAAAAAATTAAAATCTATAGAAAACGGCAGGTTATTTTCAGAACAAAATACTTTAGGAAAGTGTTCAGGCTAAATACAGTATATACACAAATGTATATTCAACATATCCAATCTCATTTCTGGTTGCAAAATACTTATTATTTTACACACAATTTCACCAATGATAAAAAAAATCGGTAAAGAGAAATATATGCAAAGTAAAATCACATTCATGCTCTTCTGTAGTGACAATTATGCCACATTTAAAAATTACAAATTCAAAAATAGAGCTTTATAATCTAAGAGTGGCTTTTTTTTTTTAAAACTTAACATTTAGTGTAGTCTATATTTTTTTACTGGTTGCTTGCATGGGTAGTAAAAGCATGCTTTCTGGGTTAGAAGGAGGCCATGCAAAATTGTTTTCATTATCTGGGGAAAATGATCGGTCACGCTCAAAATGCTGCTGCAGAAACAAACACCTTTGGAGCTGATCAAAAGGCAGTGTGAGACACTGAGTGTTCATTTAAATAAAAGCATTGGCTTTCCCCCCAAAATATGTAGTCAGGTTTAATAATAATGTACCCTTTATGAAATTAAAGACAGCCTGAACAGTAAGTTACTTTTCATGTTTATGATAGGCACTGGTTTGTCAGAAAATTTTGCCCTTCTCAACTCCAAATAGTACGAAGTTCTACATGCCTCCAAAATATGTGTTTTACTGCAACTGTGCTTATGATTTGCATACTATCTCAAAAATACAACCCAGAAACACTAATTATCTTTGTGTCCGATCATTATAATCACTTACATAAGAAATAACTTCAGCTGTTCAGTAATTTGTCAGAATGAAACGTCACGTCAGATGTTCATCTACTAAAACACATTTATTTGAAATAAACGAGCTTTGTTCGCAGTTTTCTGTTCCATGTTCCCTAAAGGCTAACTCTGCTGTTCCCTTTACATACTGTTCCTATTTTTTTCAGGATAGTTAGTTTAGAGGGATGACAATTCCCCTCACAACTCACCTCCCTCCCCAAAAAATCCGCACATCCATCTCATACAAGCGCAGATGACCCAATTCTAGTGTAAAGTGACTGTGTAATGGATTTTCAATCCCTAAACAGTAGAGACGGCTTGGTCTGAAGCAGATATAAGAGTAAAATGTCTCCAGAGATGAGGAAGGATACTTCTGATTTCCAGACAGAGCAGACTCACTCACGAGGACTGTAAGCCTTAGCCGACTGACCAGAATCCACTTGCTCTCTCTGCTAGGGAAGACTGTCACTCCATTTAGGACATCATTAGCATCCCCTGCTTGATGGGCTGTGCTCCCAGGGCTCCTCAGTTACTGCAAATTCCTGAAGCTTTCAGCTTGCCTTTATATGCAAAGCAGGCCCTCAATGAATGCTTGCAGAATAAATGAATGATGAAAGAATGATCCCAAAAGTTTAAGGCAGCCTCACAGATGATTACAATATTTTTCCATCCCACAAAGACTCCCACATCCATTTCGTTTGGTCCAGCACATTATTACTTTCAGTTAGGCTGCTTTAGGATGAGAAAATACAAAAGGGGCCAGAGGTGGTATAAGATGGTTTCTTTGTGCTTCCACATCATCTAAGGGATTACAAAGGCCAGGTGTAGGGCTATCTTAAGGAATGTTACAGCCTTAGTGCACTGAATGTTTACAGGAAAAGAAATAAAAAATAAAAAGGGATTCTTTTTAAAGCAAACAAACATTACAGATGCAACATTACTATTCGTGATTATTTTGTGCCTACCAGGAAATAACTGCTCTAATTAGTCCCACCTAGTTGTCAAGAAACCCAGGCCTTGTCCTTAGCAGATGACTTTTAACCCCAATGCACATACATGTTCACTGTGCTCAACAGCAGTGGGAAAATAAAAAAATCAAACACTTGAGCCCCTAACCCTACCAAAAAACTAAACTGAACCAAGTAAAAATTTTTCCGTAATTCACACCTCAAAGGACATCTTCAAAGTTTTACGCAAAATATCCTTTTCTGTGCCTTAAAGTTGTACCTCATTGTTAGGGATAATGAAATTTTCATTGCTTACCAGCCATGGAAATATAACAGCCTAAAGATGTCTAGACATCACAGGTTCAAATCCCTGTACTGGCCAGCCGCCAAAAAAAAAGATGCCTAGACAATGCCATAATGCTTCTTGATTTATTTTTCTATTTAATTAAATCTGAAACAGGACTAAACTCCATAGACAAAGTTTACAATTTCTGAAATATTATTTCTAGACCCCATGGAAAATTAAAGGGATTTGTAGAGGGAGTTTTTTTTTTTTAAGACACTAGACATAATTGAAAATTCATCCCTAGAGGACTCGAAAATATTTACCACTGAAAATTAGTTTCTATTAATGCTTAACTGATTATAGCAAAAAAAAATGTGTTACCAACACACTTTGTCTAATCAAACTATAATTCCAAGATTGTTTCAGAGCTTTTGGTAGGAGATTTCAAATGAGATCTACGTATTAAGCACAGATGAGAGGTTCAAATTAGACATTCATCTCCTGATATTGATGATCCACATCAGGCACATCTGTCTCAGGAAATAAAAGCCATAAAGGAAAACGAGAGTGGTGGCTAAACACCGATCAGGCTGTCAATGTGCTGTTGGAAGCAGTCAGCATCTGCAGTCACGCCACAGCAGAGGAGAGTAATGCTGCTTTGGGAAACCACCAAAGTCTATAGTAAAACGAGGACAACCAGTGAAGTTGCCAGCACAGGAGTGAGTGCAGTGGGCGATGGACTCACGTACAATGAATCACATGGAGCAACATGGTAACTTCCACAAGGCTGAGTATTTAAGTCTTACATACTGCAAGGGTCTAAAATTCCAGCTACCCTCAACATAAATGGCCTCTGGACTTGCAAGTTACTGGCTAATGCTCAAATTGGCAGCAAAATAAAGTTAAGTAACCTACTAGAAACATTTCCCAAGAGATATTCACAGAAAAAACAATAAAAAGAGAAAAAAGAGCAGTGGAGACTTTACAGCTATGCATGCATACGTGCTGTAGTTGCTGCGCACACAGCAATACTGAAAAGGGAGGTTATAAACGGATCTGTGCACCAAGAGTTCAGGAAGAACTGAAAAGTCTATAACAAAGAAAAAAAAAGTTAACATTTATAAGCGCATAAACTAAACATGCTGCATTTCATGGCAAAGTGACAAATGCTATTCAAGGAGAATCAGGACCATGACTCTCCTAACACTTAAAAAAAAAAAAAAAAAGGAAAAAGGTTTGTTTTAAAAAAGCTAGAACTTGAGCAGGAAAGTATTGCCAGACCTCCAAAAAGCTTGGAAACTACAGATTTTGTTCATCTGTGACATTTTTGTGAGGTTCCCCTTTCTCTAAACAAGAAATGCCATTTGCACTGACACTGCCAGAGGGTGTACACTCCCAATTCCACCTGCAAGTTCTGAGTATGAGATTGAATCTTAAACACAAGCAATAAATGAGCCACTGAAAAGCAGTCATAACTAAGAGTGACAGGCAGGATCCAAGGTGCATATGTAACACTTTGTCACGCATTGCTTCCACACACCGCCACTGACTTGTGGCAGTAGGCAACTTCTTTCCTCTCCAAGTTATGCAACGAGGAAACATGAACATGCAGACGCGGGGCAGCACGGAGCTTCCAACTTTTAACAGAAACAAGCAACACCAGAGATGGAACATGGTACAGATTTGTGCATCCAGCTTAGCATCCATTTTTTTCCAGGATCCTTTCAAAGGTATCAACTGCTCTACCATAGTTCAAAATCCCAATGGCCTCAGTTAGCAAATTTACAAGGAAAAAAAAAAATTATCTACTAGTGACTGACTTGCTGGCTATCCAATGTGCCACCTCTCAGGACATATCCTAAGAGTAAAGATGGGTTATGGTACACACATCCCTGCAGACATGAAGGTAGTGAAAGACTTCATTTCCACCTCTAAAACTTCTATTTGTGGCAGTAGGAGAAATGACACAGTCACCCACATGTCACCTTCCTCTTTAATCCATTTACTGATGCACATCCATCCTAGACTAGCTGAGTATATACCTGAGAAACATTAGTGTTAAAATATTGCCCTTTACAAAGACTGGTAGATGGGGCAAAAGTGCAGAAAGCAACAGTTTTTCCCTCAGTTTGTTTCACTGTTAGTGTCACAGTTTTTAGTGCTCCTGGTGCCACCTGACATCCGTAGTGAGGACAAATTCTGCTCAGATGAAACCCAAGTCAAATAATTCATCCTTCTAACACACTCATTATAGCTTAACTGGTTCACAGGGTTTAAAACCCTAGTGTCCAATTAATGTCATTAGAGTTCTCTAGAAAGAAATATATACAACTGCTAAAGGGACTGTCCAGGGCATCATCTAAAATTATTCCAGTTAGCTTGGTATCAGTGCTTTGCCTATGGCTGTTATTTGGTTCAATGGCAGAATAAGGCGACGCTTTTAACAATTTGCAATTGAATTCCCTGCACAAACGCACACACATACACACATGCACGCACGCGCATACACGCACACGTTAGGCACATGACTGAAAAAATACAAAACAAAAGCATAGAGGGCTTTGGTGGGAGGGGAAGGGTTCTAAATAAATAAACATCTTTACAGATAAAACACTGGGATTGCAGAAATATCACTGAGGTTTTTGAGAAGGCCGTGCAGAGGTTTGCATGCTAGAAGATAACTTTTTTGAGGATTTCTCAGCAGACTGCTTGCCACCAGGAGACGAGGGAACTCCCGAGTCTAGCTGGGAAGACTTGGATTTGCGAGCGGACAGCAGGGAATGTTTAGCAGAAGCAGGGTTCTTAGAGACGAGCTGCTCTTTACCAAGCGTTTCTGCACTGGACTGCTGGGAACCTGGAGGCTGGGAGCCTTTCTCTGCCCTGTCATCCCCGGTGCTCTTACAGACTGACTTCACGGAGCTCCCGCCAGCCTTTTTAGAGAGCAAAGTTGTCTTTCCGAGATCAGTCGACCGCCGCGTTTCCTTCTGTCTCAAGGCTGATTTGAAAAAGGATAGCCCCTTGTCCTCAGATTTGCTGTCCCTCTTCAGACCGGACTTTGTGCTCGTGCTGGGGGAGCGCAGGCTGGCCATGGAGGAGCTCCTGACATGCTTCCTGTCCCCTCCACCCTCACCTGCTCTGGCCTGACTCACCCGAGGGGAGTTCGGTTTGGAGGCAGAGGTAACACTGGCTCTGTCAGAACCCAGGCTCTGTCTGGAGCCCTCTCTACTTAGGCTCCGGTCTGAAGTCCTGCTCTTCCCGGGAGGGAAAGGTCCCCTCGTGGCAGGGCTGGAGGCTTTTTTGGCAGATGTAGAGGAAGCAGTGTGTGCGAGGGCAGAAGCTAACTTCTGCTTCTGTGGTGAAGGAGATGACACGGAATCCTGGGATTTGGAGGATGACTCCTTTTTGGGCGGGGCAGGGGCAGGGGCAGAGGCAGGGGATGAATGCCGTCCACTGGTCCTGGAAGAAATATCTGCTTTGCTTCGGGAGCGGGAGGGCTTTAGAGAAACTTTTACAGGAACAGGAGAAGAAGGGGATGTACTTGAAAGAGATGATTCCCGGCTTGCCAAGACTGGTCTCCCCTTCCGCAAGCTTTTATCTGGCTCAGATGTGCCTTTGGAGCTGGGGGACCTCTTGCTTGTGCTCTCTGGTTTCTTTGCAAGTGAGCCCGGGTGGCTTGGAGGTTTTGCCTCTTTGACTGGAGAACTGTCTACAGAATCACTCTGGTCCACATAAGCAATCTGGTTATTGTTATCAAATGGATCAGTGACAGAGGGCAAGCAATCTCCTTGTGCCAAGTTTTTGCTCTGTGCATCTACCACACTGGAGTTCAATTTGCGGTTGTCTGATTCATCTTTGAACACACCTTCCATGACAGCCAGAGGGGCCCGGCCCACGGCCTTGTGCTCCCGTCGACTGTGACTATTGCTCGGTTCCTGGTGACTGCTAGAAAGGTTCCTCAAGCTACCAAAGCAAGAGATGGAGACCTTGTCATCCACTGCCTCCCCAATCTTCTCCAAGGTGGAGGCAGAGCTGTGAATTGGAGAGTCCCCTGAGAACCGAGAAGGAGAACTGGAGCGCATCTGCAGCTTAGCAGACAGGGACCACGAAGGTCTCATGCAATTCTCATTGACGGCCAAGGGGCTGGTGACAGAAGATCGAGATGACAAGCTCTGACGCTGGACACTTCTTACAAATGGTCGAGTTGAAAAGCCTCCTGAACACAGTAAAGAGAACACTGTTAAGCTAAACCAACAAAAACGTTCTAGTAACATCTTAAGACACTGAAGATGGAACAAAGGCAAGCCTCATGGAATGACTGAAACATGACCTTCAGAGCCAGCCTGCCTAAGGTTAAGCGGCAGCCATGTGACTTCAACCTTTCTGAACACAGTTATAAGATAGGGACATTCGAACTCAGGGATCAGCCAACTTTCCTCTGTCCTCCTCGCTCTACATCAGGGGTCAGCATGCTTTTCCTGTAAAGGCCCAGATGGTAAGTACATTAAGCTCTGTGGGCCAACCACCCACTGTGCCACTGCAGCACAAAAGCAGCCACAAGTGACACATAAACAAATGCGCAGGGCTGTATCCCCATAGATCTTTATTTACAAAAAATGGTAGGGGGGCCTATGTGATCTGTACTGTAATTCATAGGGTTATTGTGAGAATTAAAGTCTTAAAGCACCTGGCGCTCCACAGATGCTCACTAACTGTGAGCTGCCGATCCAGCTTCTTCGTCTTACTGAAGGACATCTGGGGCTCACAGAGTGAAGTCCTTGACCAAGATTACACAAATGATTAAAGGCAGAGCTAATACCCGAACCCAACCCCTGGACCCCCACTCAACAGCACCTATAAGCTGGCCTGTAACAGTTGACTGCAAAAGTAAATCAGTGGAAACAACTAGAGAGACTTGGACACAATACACTCCTGAGTGACTTAAATCTTCCGAAGAAAATATTCTAAATTAAATTCTATATACACTTGATACTGTGGCTGTGGTATTTATAAAACTCTGTCTGTATAAGATCCTAAGAAATAGGCTCTGTTCTGTGGGCACCACCCAGAACCATCACACGATGATGATGCTTAGGAAGATATTGATTTCACCAACTACACTGTTTAAAAATAGATTGGAGCAAGCTGTACCTAGGCTTACTGTTGAAACAACAGGGAATTTCCAAGTTTAAAAGCTGTGTTGAAAAATAACCTCTACTTAAACAAGCAATGGTTCACTAGTCAGTTTTTCATAAAATGTGAGGAGCTAGAAGGAGCTCACAATGACAGCCCAGTATTCTTATTTCACAAATAATGAAGCAACAAGCCAGAAGAGGTGGCAGAGCTGGAGCAAGGTGCAGAGCTCCTTGTCTGGCACTGTTCTTCCAGCCTCCTGCAATTGTGACCCCACTTCATCTTCTCAGAATTATCCATCAGCACTAGCAGCAGACTACAGTGATCGAAATGCTGGCCACAGAGGGAGACTTGTTGGAAGATGAGTCACTGCCCTCATTACTCAAGCTGAGCTCACGCTCTGCTTCTTCCAGCTTGCAGTACTTTGGCTGCCTGGTCCTTCCCACACTACCTGGTGTGCCTGTTAGAACTCAGGTCTGTCCTGCCACTACTCAAGTGGTTAAGCGAAAGTTAAAAAAAAAAGTCAGAGTTCAATTTTTATCAGATTTACCGTTCTGTATAATGACTGCCTTCAGAGGTCCTAACCTCTATGCAAAGGCAACGGTTTCTGTTCTAGATGCGTCTGCACTAAAAAGAGCATGCCACAATTTCCTCCATGGGAAGCAGTGTGGCAGAAGGGGGAGACGTTCCTGAGAGGCAGGAACCTCCACTCCAAGTCTGGAACAGTGACTGCTGACCAGGAGGCCCTAGGCAAGTTACCTCTCTGAGCTCCTCACAGCTATTCTGAGGAGTGAACAAGCACTTTGAAAAAAGAATACATATAGTACATTATTGTAGAATTTAAGCTCCAGCCTCCACTAGACCTTGAAGGTGGAAAATAATGAAGTGCGAAGAGAAAGTCTGGGGTAGCAGAGAAAAAGCCAATGACCATGTGTACATAAAATGTGACTCTTTACAATTGTAATCCACAGCCCTGCAGCTCCACTCACTGTAACCCCCTTTGAGTTCTCCCACAGTCTCCTTGGGACTTAGCTCCTAAATTTGAGGGACCCCATGCTGTGTCTGTGGGTTGCACTTTGGAAAACTCACACCCACCATCATCTTCACTCCTTTCCCCAGTCATCTCCACGGACTCGGAGAGCGAGGCCAGGGAGGTGCGTCTGGAGGAGGCCGCAGAGGTCACGCTGGCTTGCTTGCTCCCAGGGAGCCGGCTCACCCAGTGTTCGCACAAGGAAGAACTTGTGGAGCCTGCAGGAAGGAAGCAGGCATGGATGTCAGGCCAGGGTCCCGTGACCAGCCCGCACTGCACACACCCTTGCGAAGGTGCTGCAAGTTGAGCTGGGGGCAACTGATATCCCCACCCGAGGTTGGCATTAACTCCCAGAACTCAAAATGTGCCTGCCCAAATATCCTGTTAGGTTGAAAAAATGCAAGGCAGATTTCTATACACACGATGTTTATAGTAATAAAATGCAAGTATAGGGATGAATATTTCATTATGCAAGTCTGAGTCTCAAGAGCTGGCAAGAGAATGGATCACAGTCATTCATATGTTCATTCACTCATTCTACAAATAAGCACCTGCATGCCACACTCTGTTCTAAGCACTTGCAGCAATATTTCTGACACAGAGAAGGGAGAGCGCAACAACGCCCTGTTTTTTTCCCCTAAACTCACTGTCTTGTGGAAATCTCTAACTAATTTCATAACAATAATAATACACATGCACAAAGAGCTATATGTCAATCCATCCTGTCTGCTCCAGAGATGCCCTTAAACATACAGCAGGGCAACAGAAACTGCTCTTGAAATTGAGTATATGGAGCAGCATGACTGTCTCGAGTAGGCCTCAGGAGGGTGTCATTTCTGAGCACGTCTCAGACTCTGGAACACTCTGAGGGGAGGCACAAGAGCACTAGAGCTCCCACTTTTGTTAAGTGAGTGAGCAACTCCAAACTGGGAGGGGCATGGCTCCCAACAGGGTTCACAGGGCTTTCAGCTGCTTTGAACTCACCCCGTGCAAGCTTCCAGAGGAGCAAGGATTAATATTCCCTAACCTGATCACACATTACCATGTTCCAGTCCTCTGTCACATTCTGTTAAGGCCAAACGCTGAGTTAAGAAGTATGCGCCCCCTAGTTTAGATTTTGTGTGGCTGATCCAAATCGTATGTTGACACTGCCTCCTTCATTTATTAACATAGCTGGCTAGATCCCAGCAGCCTAACCCCCAGTCATCTAATATGATTATAGCCATCAGTCCTTGCCCTAACAGAATAGGCTAATCCTCTTATTGGAAAGAATTATTTCTAATGGTACCTCATCCTTTATTTTTTTGTGTGTGTGTGTGACCGGTAAGGGGAACGTAACTCTCGGCTTAGTGTCGCCCACACCGCGCTCAGCTAGTGAGTGCACCGGCCATCCCTATATAGGATCCAAACCCATGGCCCCAGTGCTCCCAGCACCGCTGCGCTCCCAGCGCCGCACTCTCCCGAGTGAGCCACGGGGCCAGCCCTAACCTCATCCTTTATAAAATGGCCTATTTATGCATTTATCCAAATACACATCGTGAGCTTTCTTTGAGCCAGGCTCTATCTCCAGTCTACATGAACTCTGCTAGTCCACAGCTACTCTCACATTCCATCCCCATTTCTTTGATTGCAATCATTTTTGTTTCCAGATTAAATGGAAATGTGAGAATTAATCTGATCAAACTGACAGAGTCATGAGACCTTCTGATGAGGTTCTCTGTACCATAAATTATAATCTTCTACTCTGGAAAAATCTGCCCGAGAACCAAAGTCAGCCTTACCTGCCACCGAGCTGTTGGCTGACCATGACGGTATAGCTGTCCGCCTCTGGTAGAAAAGGATATATGCCATCTGCGTACATATCTCATCTTCCGACAGCTGCTGCACATCGCTGTCATCAAAGCAATACCAGAGACCATCCACGGAGTTCTTACAGTATGCTGCCAAAAAGAGCCCACTGTCAGTACCAGGGAGGCTGCACCAGCCACTCCATTCTACCCACAAACACACCACCTCATTGGTTCATATAATTAATTCAAGAACTCTTTAAGGCTTCATGTAATAAAAAAAGGTTTTAAAAATCCAAATTCCATACCACACTCAGGCCAAATGTTTCAAAAAACGCCAAACCAATCTAAGTAGGTACAGTTCTATTTCATCTTAGAAAACACAATATATAGTCAAGTGCCATGTAACAACAATGGTGGTCCCGTAAGATTATAATGGAACTAAAAATTTCCTATCGCCTAGTAATGTCAGTCATCATAAGGTCATAGTGCAATGAATTACTCACATAGCAGCAATAGGCTATACCATATAGTCTAGGTGTGTAGTGGTCTACACCATCTAGGTTTGTGTAAGCACACCTTATAATGTTAGCACAATGACAAAATCACCTAACGATGCATTTTTCAGAATGTATCCCCATTGTTAAGTGACACATGACCTTACTCATTTATTTAAACCCTCATCAAAGACAATTTTATTTAAACCCTCAACCAAAGACAATTTTATTTAAACCCTCAACCAAAGACAATTTTGCCTTGCAGGGGAAATTTGGCAATAAACAGAGACATGATCGTCACAAGTGAGGCGGGGCGGGGGGTGGGTAGGTGGCTACTGGCCTCTAGCAGGTGGAGGTGAGGGATGCTGCTAAATATACTACAGTGTAATGTACAGGACAGCATCCCACAACACAACTATCCAGCCAAAATGTCAACACTGCCAGGGTTAAGAAACCCTGACTTAAGCATGTTGTAACATTTAGCGTTTATTAAGAGACAGAAAATAATATGAAAAGAAATAATAACAATAGCAGCTGATATTTAACACTTATTATGTACCAAGCATTTCATTTAATCCTGGAATTTGCTCTACTATTACTTGCAATTTACAGAGGCTCAAAAGATTAACCAGTTTGCCCAAAGTCATGCAGCTGGTGAAAGGCACAGCCCAGCTCCTTTCAGGTTTGCCTAGTCCTCCAAGCTTGCACTTAAGCCCCTACCCGACCCTGCTTCCCTCAGAGGATAGCACAAACAATGCTGCACAGAGGTTCCCTGGCAAACTGAGAACATATGAGCTCACAAACGCATGAGGCCTCCTCTCCACTTCAAATTCTGAGCCTGAGCTAGAAATAAAGTGTTCAAGTACCAGCAAGAACAGACAAAAACTCAAAGTTCAGGAAGCCAAGTCATCCTGTAAGGATGTACCAAGGGGTGCCTGAAGTTTTATACAGAAGGGTTCATTATTATCATGTTTTCTAAAAATACCCATTTATTGGGATGAGAATAAATGAGTGCTAGAATATTAGCTTAACGCTGAAACAGAGTTAGGCAGGGCACATAAGGCCCTACGAGGCACTAGGAGAGACTCCGTCAACCACTTTTGCAAGTATGGAACCACCAGGGATGAAAGGGACCAGGCAAGGAAGGGTTATGCCAGACAGGTCCCCCAGAAGAAGAGCAGAATAAGAATCTATCACTGCAGCTGAGGACTCACTGGGATCACACAGGGTGCAAAATGGAGATACGGGCAGCGAACAGAGCTATAAAAATAGCAATTGTGTGGCCAATGGTGTCAGGTCAGGCTTGAGGTGCAAATAACACAGCTGGTGAGGTGGCTGCTATTCTGGAGTGGTGGGTGGGAGCAGAACCATGATGAGGGACACACCCAAGAGAAGGTGACAGAGTAACCTGGCACTAGTTTGTTTTGCTTCAGGATGGTCTAGTCTCAGTCCCGGCATGGAAATTAACACAGCACAGTAATTCACTGGTGGTGAAACAATAATAATTCTACTTGCTTTTCTAGGAAATTATCTTAATTATTTCACAGAATAATTCTACTTGGTTCTCTTCCTAGCACTATTTTCTGAAATGTTTTCTAGGCCAGTGCTACCTGAATGGTGGCTCACAGACTGGTGCCAGCCCACAAGAGAAGAACCAAAACGGAGAGAGCAGATAAAAACTTTTACAGCAGTCTGATGCCGCTGTGATATGTGTGCTGCATTTTTACAAAAGTACTGGTTCAGGGAGAATAGGAAATTTTAAAACAGAAAAAAAAAAAAAAAAAAACCCAAGTTCTTCATCACAGCTGGTTTGAGAAGCACTGCTCTAGAATCCTTATACAAGTTAACCACATACATAGCGTGTAATTATAGCTAGAACCAGCACAAAATAAACAACATGTCCAAATAAACATTACAAATGAAAACTTAAAAACAGGGTATCTTTAATTCAACAATGCTCAGAGTATTTAAAACGTCTTAGAACCAAGATTCTAAGCACTTTCTATACCATAAAATCAGTGGTATGGCTTAAGCACGGGAAAGTGGAAATAATACAGAAAATATCTGAGCATCTCCTAGGTAACAGGTCCAGTGAAATGGCCATGATTACTTCTGGCTTATTATTGTTGTAGCCAGGTTACAGTAAGATTACCAGGCTAAGAACACAGAGCTAGGAAGATGTCTGGCTTCTAACCCAAGCTCCTTTCACTAAATTGCACTGCCTCTAGGGTAGTTGAGGGTTTCAGCATTTTCCAAAGTCTGTCCTATCTAAAGAGCAACATGATATGCTAAAATCTAGCACTGTCCTATTTGTCTCAACAATTTCTTGCTGGAAAATGCGTAACAAGCCAGTCCATATCCTCCTGAGAAAGTGTTACAACTGGAAGATGCATTATTTACCAAAGCTGATGCTGGATGAACACCACTGGTAAAGGTGTCACTATATCAGGTAATTAGTGAGCTTAAATTACCCCTAAATTCCTTTCCATTTTGAGTTCATGAGTATGCAATTCCATGACTCAGTATCAAAGAACACAGATGTGACTTAGTAATGCCACAAAAGCAAAACTCCAACTAGACACACAACACTTACACAAGTGGCCCCCATAAAATAGAATATAAAATATGTAAGACTTTTGTCTTCCATGAAAGTAGAGCATCTTTTGAACTCTTCTTTTTCTCCCTGTAAGTGCTTCCTAGGGTAAGCAAAAGCAATCCAAGCCATTCCAACGGTGAGATCCGCTCATTCCTCTCTCAAACAACTGCTACCTGCAGCATCTAAATATTTAAAGAACTTGAACTAAAAGGGCTTCAAGAATAAAAGCTTATTGTCTCCAGTCATCTTTCCCAATCCCTGCCCTCCTGAGAGGGAACAGAGAAGGCTCAAAGAGCATGGGTGCAAGGGCTGGGAAGGCCTCCAGGCTCCTTGACCTTGCTGATGGGAAGGCAGGTTCATGGCTAACTGCTAGAGCAGAGTCCCAGGGATTTCAAAATGCCAAATGGCAGAGCCCAACCCTCCTTCACCTCCCCTACCTTTACAAATCAATGGTCGGCACTATCACTCTGGGGTCTGGTTGCACAAACCACTGAATTAGTGAAGAAAGAAAGTCCCTGAGAAATATACATGCAAAATACACTGAGTGTGAATGATGCAGAAATCTGAGTCCTGGCCACCCCTACAGATAATCAAAGTAACCATATTACCTCACGTCAACCGTCATGTAAAGAGATGTCCCAGCAAGAGCCCTAAAACCTGCGGGCCTCCAAAAGTTTGTGCATGCCCTTAATCCAAGAATTCCACTTCTGAGGTTCCATCTCAGGAAATACAGGATTAATCACTGTGAACATGCACAGAGATGCTCTCAGTGTTGTCTTGAAAATTAAAAACCAGAAACAATACAGATGTTCAACAATGGGGAATGTTATATAACATTATAAGTCCATCAACAGAATATTCTGTGATCAGTAAAAACAGTGCTTATGGGCCGGCCCGGTGGCGCACTGCTACAGTGCGCTGCTTGGGAAGCGCGGCGGCGCTCCCGCCGAGGGTTCGGATCCCACATACAGACCGGTTCCCGCTCACTGGCTGAGCGAGGTGTGGGTGCAACACTGAGGGTTGCGATCCCGTTGCCGGTCCCGGTCCAGTACGGGCGCGACACTGAGGGTTGCGATCCGTTGCCGGTCATGAAAAAAAAAAGACAAAAAAAAACAGTGCTTATAATAAAAACTGTGTCAACATCAGAATACTTAAGCTACAATACTGAGCGTGAAGATCAGGATGCAAGGGCCGGCCCGTGGCTCACTCAGTAGAGTGCGGTGCTGATAACACCAAGGCCGCGGGTTCGGATCCTATATAGGGATGGCCGGTTCGCTCACTGGCTGAGAGTGGTGCTGACAACACCAAGCCAAGGGTTAAGATCCCCTTACCGGTCATCTTTAAAAAAAAAAAAAAGATCAGGATGCAGAAGCACACTCATCCTCACTGTGCTCCTCTGATTCTGAAATCTGTACCTGTCCATCTACAGTTAGTCCATATAGGTATGCAGTGCAGGCAGCAGATTACTAATCCTAGCGGTGTCTCCTATCCCTCCAGCACACTCTCACCAGTCTTTCCTCTGGCCCCCACCCGTACCGATCATTCACATTTCCACCACAGAACCTATTACATACTACTGCTCTTTTCAGATTTTATTTGTACCTACGTCTGCCAGAAGATAGAGGCTGGGGCCTATTCATCTCTGATGTGATAGAGCCCAGTCAAGCTAGATATGAGGTGCTCAATAATGTCCACCTGAACAGAACACAACCATGTAATCACAGCAGTGTAAAGTAATGGCAAAAACTTGCAGAAAAACACTGGAAGTATATACCATACATCAAAATGTTACCTACAAGCAACGGAACATTATTCGGCCTTAAAAAGGAAGTAAATTTTGACATATGCTACAGCATAGATGAACCTTAAAGACATTATGCGAAATGAAATAAGCCACTCACGAAAGGACAAATACTGTATGTTTCCACTTACATAAGATACCTAGAGTTGTCAAATTCATAGAAAAAGAAAGTACAGTAGTTGCCAAGGGAGGGGGAGAGAGGAATGGGAATTAGAGTTTAATGGGTACGGAGTTTCACTTTAGAAGATGAAGTTCTGGGGATGGATGGCAGGGATGGTGGCACAACAGTGTGCGTGCACTTAATGCCACTGAACCATACACTTAAAAGTGGCTAAAATGGTAGATTTTGTTATGTGTATTTTATCAGTTTTTAAAAATGTTACCAATGATTATTTTTAAGTGATATCTTCATGGATAATGGTATTCTCCTTTCCACTTCTCTCTAGTCTCTAAATTTCACATGATGAACATAGTTGCTTTTACTTTTAAAACAAAAGGTAGGGGCCGGCCCGGTGGCACACTGCTACAGTGCGCCGCTTGGGAGCACGGCGGCGCTCCCGCCAAGGGTTCGGATCCCACATACAGATCGGTTCCCGCTCACTGGCTGGGCGAGGTGCGGGCGCGGCACCGAGGGTTGCAATCCCGTTGCCGGTCCCGGTCCGGTACGGGCGCGACACTGAGGGTTGCGATCCGTTGCCGGACACGAAAAAAGACAAAAAAAAAAAAAAAGGTAAACTATTCCTAGTGACTTTAAAGACACTACAAAAGTAGCTATCATTCCAAATAAGGGAGAAGCTAGAACCTCAAATGGGGGTGCAAGTGAGGTAAACAAAGGCAAATCCTCAGGTGACCAGACAACACTACTCATCTGTATGAGGGGACTTCAAAAAGTCGATGGAAAAATGGAATTAAAAGATAAAAATAAAAAATGTAAACTTTTACTTCTCATCATAAACTCCATCAAGTTAAAGACGCTTTGTAAGCAATGATAACAGCCATTTAGTCCATCCCCACAGAATTGGAATCCTGGGAATCTAATCCTGTCAATGCAGTCTTTTTTACATTATTAACAGAAGAAAAAAAGGTGCCCTTTAAAGATTTTTTTAAGATTAGGAAACAAAAAGAAGTCAGAAGGAGCCAAATTAGGACTATAAGGTGGATGCCTAATGATTTCCCATGGAAACGCTCACAAAATTGCCTTTGTTTGATGAGAGGAATGAGCAGGAGCATTGTCATGGTGGAAAAAGACTCTCTGGCAAAGCTTTCTCACGTGTTTTTCTGCCAAAGCTTTGACTAACTTTCTCAAAACACTCTCATAATAAGATGTTATTGTTCTTCAACCCTCCAGAAAGTCAACAAGCAAAATGCTTCAAGCATCCCAAAAACCTGTTGCCATAGCCACATCTTGACAGGTCCACTTTTGTTTTGACTGGACCACTTCCACCTCTTGGTAGCCATGGCTTCGACTATACTTTGTCTTCAGGATCATACTGGTAAAGCCATGTGTCATCTCTTGTTACAATTCTTCAAAGAAATGCTTCAGGATCTTGCTCTTGTCTAAAATTCCCATTGAAAGCTCTGCTCTTGTCTGCAGCTGATCTGGGCACAACAGTTTTGGCAACCATCAAGCAGAAAGTTTGCTCAACTTTAATTTTGCAGTCAGAACTGTGTAAACTGAACCAATAGAGATGTCTACAGTGTTGGCTATTGTTTCTGCCATTAACTGTCAGTCCTCTTCAATTAGGGAACAAACAAGATTAATTTTTTTCCTTGCGAATTGATGTGGATGGTCTGCTGTTGTGGGCTTCACCTTCATCGTTGTCTTGTCCCATCTTAAAGCAAATTATCCATTTGTACATTCATTTCTTTGGGACACTGTCCCCATAAAGAATCAATGACTTCACCATTCGTCTACTCAAGTTTCACCATAAATTTGATGTTTGTTCTTGCTTCACTTTTAGCAGAAAACATGTTGTTCTGATTCAGGCTCTTTTCAAACTGATGTTTTATCCTTCTTAGTGCCTCAAACTAGATCCTGTTCAGACAAGTTAGTATGTACAAGTTTATTTTGGTGCAAAAAAAAATTTTGCAATCCATGCATAGTTTTTTCATAATACACATTTTCCATGAACTTTCTGAAGACCCCTCATAAACAACATTCCCCAATCAGGTCAGATAACTACTGGATGATCTAACTCAGGAAAAGAGGAAAGAATTTTAGTTTATTTGCTCTTGGAGAGAGATCCAGAGAATGGAAACTGCCCTCACAGTTGGCAGACTGCCCACTGGAAGAGAAAATGAGGTTCTAAAGCCAAGTCACCCTGCCATAAGCAGAACCTGTCTGAAGGAATCGTCAGCACAGACACGCAGCCTCTCACACTGCAGACCTGTGTAGTGCCCCCCTTGCATGGTGCCATGATGATTGCACACAGCATACAGGTCATAGATGTAGTCCTCAGGGTCCCTCCCGAGTCCATAGGGCCGTCTCCATGGGGACCAGTGGGATGGCAAACTCCAGCTGCTCTGGCTTCTCTTAACCACATGTGGTGTCATGTCCAGCCCAGTTAAGGGGAACTTGACCATGTTCTGAAGTTTCATACGCTTGTCTCCATCCTGTTACAAGAAGAAAAACAAGTTCTGATGATATTTTAATGTTAGAAGATGGCAGATAACGTGGAATGTGGGCCTTATCAGCTGAAGTGGTTTCAGTTACCTAACTGACATTTCCTAAGACACACACAAAATAGGGAAACAGACTAATAGTTTTAGCTATTGAGAGGAGTAGGTTTTATTTATTTATTTATTTATTTTTGCAGTTGGCTAGAATGGGGATCAGAACTCATGACCCTAGTGTTATAAGGCTGTGTTCTAACCAACTGAGCTAACCAGCCAGCCGAGAGGAGTAAGTTTTAATATCACTAAAAGTGGCAACAGTAAGGATCTACCTATAGGGGGATAAAGGAGCCCCTCTGAGTCTTCATTTCCTTATCTGTTAAAAGGTTTTCAAGTTTTTGAATTACAAAAATGACAATTTCAGGTGGTTCATCCTGATACCCGTGTCACAGAGGCATGAAAGTTAACGGAGTGATAACTGTGCAAAGGCCTGGCACAGAAGAGATACTCAGTAAGCGGTGCCCCCCACCACTTCCCTCAACAAGAACATTAAAGTCAACACTGACTTAGCTTCATGTATTCATATAGCTGACAATCTTGTGTAAACTGTATTTTCCATTTAAGCTCAAAAGGAAATCCAACCATCAGTTGAACAGATACTTATTGTATGTTTCCTGTGTCTACGAGAACTTTAAAAAATAATCAGGTATGGATATGTCTACGCCAAGGAGCTGCGAATCTATTAAGGAAAGAAAAATGTGCAAAAGACAAAGGGAGATAGGTCCTGGATGGTCAGGAAGGCCAGGCTGAAGTATGTGGAGCTTACTCTGTAGTTAAGGGGGGAGCACCGACACTTTTATGGAGGAAGTGATGTCACCAGAGCTGTGGGAGAAGAACTGCGTAAGCAGCACATAAAACATGTTAGAAAGGGGACAGTGATGGAGGTTAAGAAATCAGTTAAAGGGGCCAGCCCGGTGGCGCACTGCTACAGTGCACCGCTTGGGAGCGTGGCGGCGCTCCCGCCGAGGGTTCGGATCCCACATACAGACCGGCCGCTCACTGGCTGAGCGAGGTGCGGGTGCAACACCGAGGGTTGCGATCCCGTTGCCGGTCCCGGTCCGGTACGGGCGCGACACTGAGGGTTGCGATCCGTTGCCGGTCACGAAAAAAGACAAAAAGGAAAAAAAAAAGAAAAAAGAAAAGAAATCAGTTAAAGACTGCAGTGGCGACCAGCTGGAAAGTAACAGAAAGTCTAAACTGGCAGGGTGACAGCAAGAATGGCAAGGCACAACCATGCTGGAAAAGCAACTGCCCAGATGAGAAAGATAAGAGAGGAACAGAGGAGGACACTGCGTTCTGAGTCTGGGTTGCTGGAAGGGTGATGAGCTCAGCCAGCTTTCCACCTGCAGGTCCCAATGTGTGCAGCTGCAACACCCAATGCAAACGCCCAGTCTTCACTTCTGCAGGAGCTGAACCCCAAACCTTCTTCAGGTCTCCCTGTCTTCATTCCTATAGCCTCTCAACTGTTCTCTACACAACAGCCAGAATGATCTTTGCAAAACACAAACTTAGTGGTGTTGCTTCTCTGCTTAAAACCCTTCATCAGAATCCTACTTTGCCTACAAGGGTCTGCTTAGACCACCAACCTCCACCCCCAGCTCTTCCTCCTCAACTCCCACCACTGTCCCACCCTCTGGGGTGCCAGCCCAACTGGGCTGCTTTCAGCTTCTTGCACACGCTTCACTCCCTCGGGCCACTGGACTCTAAATACACTGTGCCCCCTGTCAGTATATGGGTGCATCTCTGCTTCCACTTACCCTGGGGAATGCCTGCTCATTTTTCAGATGCAAACCTTCCTGAAGCCGGGCCTCACAGACACCACTAACGCTCACTTCCCCGTGACCACTCTTACAATGGGGCTGTCCAAGACAATCCTAGCCTCAGGGAATGATAGCCTTTTTGGAAAAACTGACTCACAAAGCAGTACAACTCAAAGTAGATTTTCTTTGTATGTATTTGTGATTCATCTCCCCAACTACAGCTACTTGGGCACAGGATGACACCCATTATTACATCAGGTAGAAACGGAATTCCCTTCCCCCAGAAAAAATCTCTACTCTTTTTTTTTAATCCCAAACTACATGTCCAAAAACTTAACACAACATTTATGAGTCTAAAGCAAGCCCCCAAGAATAAAGTAAAATATCTACAAAGCAGACTGAAATGTGTAGGACTTAAAAGGTCACAGGAGGCTCAGATTTTGCTTTGGGAAATAACAAAACATGACCACAAACACAGGAGCAAAAGTGTGTCTGTAATATACACAGACAGGACCATGGGATCAAACAGGGACACTACAGAACTCCCCCAGAGCCCACCAGAAGGGGCATAAGAAACTTGGTCACAGCTCGGTTTCTGCCAGTGATAGAAGACACCTTACCTGTCGGAACCTCTTCAAATGTATGATAAGCACATCGGGCAGAGTCCACAAGCTCAGCGTGATGCTCCCCTGCTGCAGCTGCTTGCAGTGTGGGCAGCGCCAGGCGTCATCTGGGGCAAGCTGAAAACAAGGAGCATGACTTCTGTCAAGTGCCATTTAATGCGAGACACTGTTACGGGACACAGTTGGGCTCATTTCTTAGCCAGGGCATGGCACAACTCAGAATCTCTCTGGAAAGTGCACAGGATGAGAGTCAATGGAATAACACAGTCAAACGTGGCACCCGGCTGGAGCTGGCACCCAGACGTTTGCTGAAGATTATCCCTTGAAGAGGAACGACTATAAACAGGTAAATGCTGTACACATGATGTTAGGTGTCGCAGAAGCACCTCAAACGCAGCATATTTCCCAAACTCTACTCGACATCTTTCCATCAACTCCTCTTTCTCCTTCTCTACATCCTACCTCAGCAAAACCACTACCACCCACCAAAGATGGAGCATAGGGGGTTACCCCAAACCCCAAAACCCTTCCTTCTCCCTCCCACTCCCTGTTCATGCCAAGTAATTCTCTCTCAGCCATTTCCCACACCTGTCTCCTCTGCTCTCTGTCTACTCACGCCACCCTAATTCAAAGTCCTCACTTGTTCTGTCACCTGAACTTCTTCAAATCTCCTAACTATTCTCTCCCCCAAGCACTAAACTGCTCCAAACAATCCTCTCCCTCCTGCCATAAGCAAGAGCTTTCCAAATATCAATCTGAGGTCCCAAATCCACATACACCATCTCTGCAGGGAATGGTTTTGAGGTGGGGACATAATAATTTAGAGGTGCCAATAGGTAAGAGATTTAATCAACTCCAGAGTTCAGATATATCAGATGTGGGATCATCAACATGCTGAGGTAAGGGATGTCCTGGGAATGGACGACAATGCCCACTAAGATGGAAAGAGAGGAGCTGAGGACAGAATCTTGGGGAATGAATATTTTTAAGGGAAACACCAAAATTGAGAACCCACCAGAGCCTGAGGAAGAACAGTCAGAAAAACAGGCAAACCAGAAGTATTCGCTTTTATGCATACCAAGAAAAGAGAGTGGCAAGAACGGGGTGGTCATCAGTAGCACATCCCATGGAGAGGTCAAATGAAGACCGAGCAGCAGCCATTGAACTGAGCAAGCCAGGAGCCACTGAGAACCTCAGAGACCAGTGTCCAGAACATAAGTCAGACAGATGACCAGAGGTTCTGGAGTGAGTTAGTGAGAAGAGGCGAAACCACCAATTGCAAATGTAGGCAGAGACGAGGAGAAAGACTGGTAACCTGAAAGTGAGCAGAACTGAGGGAATGTTTTTTTCATGATGCAGAGATCCAATCATGTTTGTAGGAAAGACAGGGAGGGACAGAAGTTTGGGTAGACAGGAGTGAATCAGAAACTCAGACTGGAAGGGACCTAAATTGTCATCTGGTAAGTCCACATCTCTGTGAGACATACTAATATTCTACATATGTGGACATCCAGCCCAGTGCTTGCAGTAAAGCAGCAGGTTTTGTCCGTTTAAATTCCAGTGTATTACAAACAGATACTTTTATAAAATATAAGAATGTCATGACAATGTCTAATTGCTACAACAATCTAAAAATGCTCCTCCAATTTCTGTACTGATCTCACTGCTGAAAAGAGCTACCAGACCTGCTTACCACTCAGCATCCTGGTCTAGCATCTCTGCCAAGCAAATGAAGGGGGCTATCTCAGCAGACAGTTGTTCCACTTCAGAGTCTCCTGCAAAGTTCTTCCTCATATGAACACAAAATCACTCTCCCTATAACTTCCAATCCTTAAATTCTGCTTCCTACAAAAAACTAAGCCCAATCCCTCATCCACAGGACCCCCCCTTCTAGTGCCCAAAAATAACTATCAGATCCCCACTTATGTCCTCCTTTGTCAAAATATACTCAGCCATGTCATGATTTCCAGATGCACCATTCCCTACCCACTCTCCGGACATGTCCCAGTTTGCTGTTTCATAACAGTGAGCATTTAAAGTAAGGAAAAGAGCAGCAGCATCACCATTGGTGCTCTGGACACTGTTTCTCAAGTGTCCATAAGGATCACAACAATGGCTGACACCCACACAGCACTGCTGGTCAATACTGAGCTTGCAGACAACTAGACCCCAAAGTTACTGTCACATGGCCTACTGCTAAGTCCCATCATCTCCACTTCTATATTTGTACTGTTATTTTTGAACACAATACTGAACTTCCGAAGTACCACACACTCATTAAGTACATATTTACTGAAAACTTTCTAGGTGCCAGTCACTGTTCTAGATATTAGACTGTTTAGCAACCAAGAAAGACAGAGTCCTTGCTTTAATGGCACTTACATTATCTTAACTCTCTCCCTTACCTCCTGTGCTCCAGCCACACTGGCCTCATCTGTTTTCAACCACGCCCAGTTCCTTCCTACCCCAGTGCCTTTGCGTCCTCTATTTACTTGTTACTCCCTGCAGACTGCAAAGAGCATGAGGTCAGGAGTGTTGTCTGTCTTGGTCCCTGCCATATCACAGTACCTAGAGCAGTACTTAGCACACAATATGTACTCAACAAACAGATACTGAATGAATGCACCCCTATTAAAACATATCTTGCTAGCATGAACTCATCATTCTAAATCAGTGAGATGCTTTTAGAGTACCAGTGCTGTCATCTAGTAGAAGGGTTCATCCCTAGGCTTGGTGCCATTCTTCAACAAACAAAAAAAACCACTAAATAGGACAAGGTGCCATATAGAACCTGCAGTCAATCAGTTTCGAAGCCAACTATTTTATACTTAAGGCCAAAACTGAAAAACTATTGTTAAGGGAACTAGCTATGAACAGCTTCGGGGAGAGAAGACTCAGTGAGAATATAAAAATTATTTTCAAATATTTGAAGGATAAAGAAGAGGAAGAAAATTGAGACTTTTGAGTCTTGATGAACTTAAAAGAGAGAAACCTGTTGGCTCTAGTAACAAGGGGACATATTTTAGGTTAACTCAGTCCCATCAGAGCAATCCGGAGAGGAAAACGTGTGTCAAGTCTCGAGTAGGCGAATACCTCATACTGGAAGGAGTTCAGACAGAGGTGGACAACCACCTACTTGAAATCAGGTAGAAGGACCCAACCACTAGAAAAAAAGAGTTCTAAAGTCCCCTCCAGTCCTGAAATCCCATGGTTCCCTATGTACAGGAGTGAAGACTAACTAGTAGTCAACATTATGATCCTAAACATCAAAGCAATGTACGATGAACTCAAGTGCTCTGGTCAAGGTTTCTCAAGGTACATAAAAACCACACAGGCCTGGGCCACCCACAGAGACTTACTTTTCCATCCATTGGTCCACTCATTCATTTAAAAATTTACTGAGTGCCTACTATCTACAAATCACTGTGCTATATGGTCCAAAGCACCACTGTACAGTAGAACTTTCTGCTTATATCTGCACTGTTCAATATGGAAGCCACTAGCCACACGTGTCTACCGAACACTTAATATGTGGTTGATACAATTAAGGAACTAAATTTTTTATTTGATTTGATTTCAGTAAATTTAAATTTAAATTTAAAAGGGTCCTGGCACCTATGTTCTTAGTACACAGGTATTAACTTGAGAATCACCATTTTAGTTACTAAGGAAAATAATTTAAAACTTCCAAATTAAAAAAAAAACCTGATCATTAACCATTAAAAAAGGTTAACTACAAAGGTCCATTTCTAGAGCATTTTAACTAGTCAAGGTTTTTGAGAAATGGAAACTCTTTTTGTTAAAATCCTAAAAGAAATAGCCCTAAGACTCTTCTAACATGTGCAGAACCTATATAAATGCAGAATCCTGGAGAGTTTTCTGGAGTATAATTGGTTTCTCCATTGTCATCTTGCAACAGTCCCCTCCCTGCAGCCCTTAACACCCAGGAAACACTGCCCAACCTCTCACCCGTTCCTCTTTGGTGTAGAGTTGGAAACACTGGGATAAAGTGCAGGTCTGGGGCTGATGATGACGCTCCTTTTGCAGACGGACGCTTTCTGCATCAGGGATGTACTCGTCTTCAGTATTCGCAAACAAGCTGAGATTGGGGGGGGAGGGCATTTATCAGAGAATGTCTTACAAAACAGACACAAAAATATAGCTGCCACTTTATAAAGTGGCTGTAAATTCATAACCAAAAACACCAACGCATATAAAGGCAGAAGAGGTGATCCAACTTTTCTGTGTTCCCAATGTTCTTGAAAAGTTCTCTACCCACCAAGTTATTTCAGAAACTAACTTGGAGTTGGTTTTTCGGGGACTGGTCACAAACTGTGCTGATTAAATCATATATATCCTTGTCTTTCATATCTAAGGGCATACATTTGAAAAAGCTTATTAGAGTTAATGGGCCATTAATAAAAATCAAAGTAATTGGAACTATACAGTAGTTAACAAGCATATAACTCCTCTCAGCAGCAAACAAATGTTCTAAGGTTTCAGGATTGGCAAGGGAATGTGCACATAGGAGAGGAATAATAAACTGCTTAAATAAAGGATTAATAACACATTTGGATACTTAACTAAGGAGAAGAGAGATGTGTGTTTCAGCTAATTTGAAAGATCAAAGGTGTGCTACTAAAATGGTAATTAAAACAGTGATTCTATAAATACTAAGAAAAAAATACTCACAAATCTTTTGTCTCCTTGTCCCATTCCACTACTAATTTCACATGAGCAGTACCACCTGGTCCACAAGACTTTAATGCCCTATAGAATGGAGGGGGGGAGGAAAACGAAAACCACTTATTTTCTAAATAAATGATTTTACTTAAATATGATTATGTCCTATATGAAATCATCATGTGATTACTGAAAATCATCATCATAGTTCTCCATCAGAATAACTTTCTAGGGCCGGCCCGGTGGCGCACTGGAGAGTGCGCTGCTTGGGAGCGCGGTAGCGCTCCCGCCGAGGGTTCGGATCCCATGTGGAGACTGCTTCCCGCTCACTGGCTGAGCACGGTGCGGGCGCAACACCGAGGGTTGCGATCCCATTGCCGGTCCCTGGTACAGGCGCGACACCGAGGGTTGCGATCCCGTTACCGGTCAGTAAAAAAAGACAAAAAGGAAAAAAAAAAATAAAAAAATAAAAAAAGAATAACTTTCTAGCAACACCATTACAACCTCAGATTTAATAACTAGGTTACAACTGGACTGAAAAACCCTTAAATTAAAATGTCCAATATAGAAATAAAGAGACTAGAAGAAATTTAGTATCACATTATAAGGCTTTTCTAGAATCCTAAAATGCAGGCACTACAATGTTTAAAAAAATCATTATAATAAAAATAATGTGAACTTTTATATTTATGCATCCATATATGTATTGTGTATATACACATATCTATTGTTTTATTAATACAATAGAGTGTTGCAAGTATAACAAAGTACATAGGAGGCACTGAGGCAGCAGAGTGGAGTGACCAATCCTATCAGAGGAAGGAGGAACCATGTCAATTAAGGCTAAAGGAAAGGAACTGTAGACAGAGGAAACTACATATGCAAAGACACACACATAAATAGTATTATACAATCAGACAAGCACCAGTACTGTGGTACTGCTGAGCATTCAGGCCAGTGGACAGAGGACCAGCAAGGCCTGACAAAAGGGTATTAACCAGAGCTCAAACTGAAAACTTTCACATAGTGTGGAACTTGGGCATTATCTTTTGGGCCACAAGTTACCATTAATTCCCATATTTAAGGGTTTCAAGGAAAAATGTGGCATGATCTGAATGCTACTTCGGAAAACTTCAATCTTGAAGTTCTGAATATGAAAGCATAGTTTACCTCCAACCCTAGGACATATGTTAATTTGCTTTCTTAACATGAGTACTCCACGGATTTTCTGACTTCGGGAAAGATCATAAAACATATACTCAAATATGAATCAAAACTAAAATAAGTATTTAATCTCTAAATGAACCTAAAGAACCTAGCAAACTTCCATGGAAATTATAGCAGATATCACTTGATCTCACACATGAGCATAAGTGAAATTCTACAAGGTGATTTTTTAATTTTTTTACCTTTCTACTGTCGGGTGGCACAGAGGCTGCTCCTCCTGTGGCAGCAAGTATGTTATTCCCACAACACTGACCACACGCAAACTGAATGGACACACCTGTCAAATGTTAAATGAGAATTAGGCTGAATTTTTCTTCAAGGGCATCTGCTTCACAGTGGCATTTCCAAAACAGATTAGAGGTACAGTAAACTGTTTTGCAAAATGCTTCTCTACAATATTCTGTTAGGTTGTTGAGTCACTCTAACGCACTGTATGATTCACCTAAATGCAATTTGCATACCAAATGTGTTCCGCAAGACAAGCAGCACACTGCTTTTGCTGATCATTCACTTCATGGTCTTCCACATATACCTTAACATAGTAATAATAACTTTTAAAATATACAGATAGATGTTCTACTAAAACCTCTCCAAGTTGATCATGTACTAATAAGCTTTATTAGATAAGTATTATAAAGAATATGCAGTAGTTCAAGAAAAACCTTGCAGTAGCGAAGTCCTTTCATAAAATTAGTGGTAAATTCTCAGCCTTGAAAATCTGAACACAACAAATTCAAATTTCATTGTAATGGCTGTTTCTTCCCTGCATATACACACATGCCATGCTGGAGTATCAAAATGCTTTCAAACCTGAATGCAAACCGTGGGCCTCAAGAAATACTTCATCTTCTCCAAGATCTCCTTCTGCAGCAGGTCCCACGCTATTGTCTTCTCTAAGTGCAGCACGAAAGGCAGGCCAAACCTAGCGCACATGAACACTGTGACTGCCTTAATAGTACGCAGTTCCTTTAATGCTGTAATCCCTCAGTCTTGATCTTTTCAAATGGAATCGCAATGTAATAGGTTTTAGGACAGTTCTCAAAATAAAACAAACAGGAAATTTAATGGTAACTCTCATAAAGAGATGAAAAAGTGAGAACAGCTTAGATTCCTAAATGAAATTTAATAGCTCATACAACAAAATGGCTTCGGGGAGTATGAGACTAGGATATTAGGAAGCAGGAGACAGGATTAGTGGAGATGGTGAGCAAAGAGGGTGGGATGGACAAGAATCTCACAAACAGCACTGGTCAGACCTATAACAGTTAGGTGCCAGAAGAACAGATAGGGCTGGAAGGTCTAACAGGCAGGTGGCCATCTCCTGGGAGTCTCTGGCAAGTAACACTGGAAGTCAGCTCCTGCCCTACAACAGAAGCTATCTGGCCTCTGCCAGGTTTCTATGTCCTAGAGAATCAGAGGCAGTACTATGGTTCTCAGCCTTAGCTGCACGCTGAAATCTGGGAGCTTTAGAAAATAATGATGCCCAAGTCCAGCCCCTAGAGAATCTGATGCAATCACTGTAGAATGTGGCTGAGCACTGAGACATTTTAGGAGTTCCCCAGGCGGTTCTAATATGCAGCCAGAGGACCACTGGCCTAGCCTCAACTGTCGTCCACGCCACAGGAATTCACACCCGTGTGCTGTTCCCTAAACGTGTCCTGCTCTCACACACCCACGTCTTTGGGCAGGCAACCCCCTCAGCCTGGAATGCCCTTCCCACCCTTCTTCTAGGCCACCTGCTACTCACCCACGTGAAGACCCAGTGGAGGTTTTCTTTTCCAAGAAGCACCCTATGGTTTGTTACCTCTGTTATCTATACCACAGCCCCAACTACACTGTGCTGTAAACACTACCTGTTACTTTTCTGCCTCTACCAAGCTAAATTTTCTGGCAGCAGGAACTGTGATTTATTTATCTTAATAGCCCAAACAGCCCATGCCTAGAAGACAGTAAACGCTAAACGAGTGAATGAATGAATGAATAATCTAACTAACAGATGAACCCTGACTCAGACCCAGGCCAAAGAAGAGGTGCTAAGATCACTGAGAAACCCATTCCTAACAACAAGCAAACTGTTTATTCACAGTGGTACTTAACAGTGAACCTATCTACCTAAAAACTACTGTAATATGAAATGGGTTACTGGTGCATGTAAATCAGCCAGCCACATTTTTCCTAAGACAATGTCTTTACTCTTATGAGACTAGAACAAGGAGAGCCCACAGGTTCTTTGCTCATAAATATGAGCTGCCTTTCCTTCTGTGTCTTAAACATGCCAAGCCCCTTCTAGTCTCAGTGTGTCTGTACTGGGTGTTCCCTCTGCATGGAACCCTCTCCCCTGGAAGTTCACATAGCTCTCACCTCTCCTCACTAATGCTCAGCTCAGTCCCTCCTCAGGGCTGCCTTCCCTGACCTCCCTCTCTAATGCAGTCTTGCCAGCCTCCCAGTCATCACACTCTGTCACACTAGCCTGCTTTCATGTCTTCCACGTGGTAACGACTGTCTGAAGCTAAATGTGTTGACTTGTTTATAGGCGGTCTGTCCTAACTAGGATGTAAGCTCCAAGAGGACACAGACACTGTCTTGTTTACTGCTGTATCCTCAGTGTTTAGAACAGTGCCTGACAAACTGTAAACACTAAAATATTTGTTAATAAATATTCAAATATAACTATCAATACATTTTACATTTATGTTGTTTACCACTGAAGAGCTTATTTCAAAGCAAAATTTTAAAAGGCTAATATAAAGTCTACCCTGACAAATGGAAAAACAGAATCCTTTCTCCCTGAAACCTATCTGTCTCTTATTACTTAGGTTATATTACTGTCGTGATAAAGTTACTTTAAAAGATAGTCTAAAACTCCCATAAATTCTTAGAGAAGGCAGCAGACAGATTTGAAAGAGATTTCCAACCCTCAATTTTCTGACATATAAAGCTGAATGAATAGGGGTGCCATTTGCTAAGACAAGAAATACTGGCGGGCCAGTTTCATAGAATAAGAAAATGAGTTCAGTTTGGGATTTAAGAATGAGGGGCACATACCATCCAAGTAGATATGTTAAGAATTTAAAAAAAAAAAAAAGGTGTTAAGAAAGTAACTGGATATAGGTCTAGAACTAAAACCCCAAGAGGAGGCTGAACTGAAAATATACATATGAAATGAGGCTTTAATAACTAGATGGATTTCCAGAGCCTTTTAACTCAGATTTTAGCATACCAAACTAGAGTATAAAATTTATACTCTGCTTCCCAAATCGCCCCCCACCCCCCAATCAGGTCAACCTATATATATATTCTTTCTAAACATCAGAATCAAAAATTAAATACTGAAAGTAAGGAGTTTTCACTCCTGCTTTTTAAAATGTTTAAAAATTTAGACTTTTAAAGCCTTAGTACTTATTGGAAAATAAGATGGTTTCTACCTTTTCCCTTGCTGCCCAGTGCAGGCTCGGTTACACACCAACAGAACAATCTTGTCACTTCCTGCTCTTGTGGGGGGCAAATCCATTTTCCCTTGCTTTGCTGCTATTTGTGTAGGAGAAGACAGCCTATGATGATCCAAGCTGAATTTCAAGTGGTTTAGATTGTTGTTTAAATGAATTCCTGAAACAGAATAAAATAATGCATTTTATCTCTTTAAAATTCTTTTCATTTATTCATTACAAAGAAATTTACCTAAAAGAGAAAGCAAGAAATTGCCATCAGGTAATTTAAACTGTAATCAAAAAAAGGAACAAATTCTCTACTTTGAGATTACTCATCAAGCCATGAAGATAATTTCTTTAGCATCCATTACTTCCTTTAAACTTGCCTTACCTATCTTAAAAACTGAAAGATAGATACAGTATTAGAAGGGCAAGTTTGAGACCATGCAACCAGCAATCAAATAAATTTAAAAAAAATAAAGACGAGGACATATAGAATGGTTTTCAATGTTCCAATAGCAGTTTCTTCTCCCTGATTAAAGAGCCAGGCTTGTAAGAAACAAAAGATAAACATCACTTACTAGACCCGAAGCCATTATAAGAATATGCCAACTTTAATACTACCAACTAGACTGGATCAACCCACATTAGACTGAACAAAATATATGTTTGACAGGCACAATACTGGCTTTCAGAAATGCCCCAATGCAGAGCTCCCTGTCAATCAGAGCTATCTAGCAATTCGGCACTTAGCACAATGCCCTGCACTTAGTAGGAATTCAATAAATGCCTGACCAAATAACTATGCATTTCTTTAATCCTTTGGAAGTACAACCTACAGAAATGATACCCCAACTAGAGAATAAAAGAAAGAATCCCCTCCCACCACCACCATAAATACCACCAACACTTCCAGAAGAATTTTTTTAAATGGCTTACATAAAAGTATTCATAGCAGAATTCTGGCAATAACTTAAATAACAAGACTTACTGAACCTATTAAAATATATCAGCATTATAGCAATTTTAAATGATGAGTACATAGTTATTACTAAAATAAATTCCAGATAGAGTTTAAAAAAAAAAACCCAGCAACACAGAAACTAGAAATAAAAACAAATCTTTATCAAGGAAGATGGAAGAAAACTTTTTAAGCTCAAATACCATAGAAAAATCACAAAAGAAATAGGAACAGATTTCACTTCATAACCATTTTAAACTTTGGTATGAGAGAACAAAAGTAATAGAAATCTGAGTGTGAGACAACAAATGACCTCATTTCCCAGGTTTCTGGCAGAAGCAAAAGTGGGAAGAGCTCTTCTCCTAGAAGCAATCAGGATCCCTAATGAGATAAGGGGACGTCACTCAACTGCCCAGAAACCAAGCACTGTGTTCCATCATGGACCCATTTACTACCAGCTTTGTGACCTGGGGCTGGTCACTTAACCTAAGTCTCAGCTCCCTCATTTAGTAAGTGGGAAAAGTAGTAGCCTCATATGTACTGAACAGAACAACTGTTAAGGCCTTTAGAACAGAGGCTAACACACACTCAGTAAGTGGTGTATTCTTCAACAAAGGCACTCTCTGGCTAGAATGTGATAACCTTTGGACTCACCAAATTCACTTATAAATAAAAACTTAGTGTTAGCCTAAGCAATTGGTGTGGGAAAGGGGATCTGGGGCAATTTTCAGTTGAACAAACATTAACTGGGCTTTGCTGTATATCAGGAACTGTACTGAATTGCTGGGTACACAAAGATGAAGCAAAATGTGGTCCCAACGCCACAGAATTTCACAGCACGGTGGGAAGGACAGGGGAGACAACAAATCATTTCCACACAACATGCCAGTGCAAGAGATTAGCAGAAGCCATGATCAGAGCACGGGAGAGCAGAAGTTAGGCAGCCAGCCTGGCGGTGGGAAGAATAAGGAGAGGCTTTCTGGACAAGGTGATGATTGGGTATTTTTTACTGTAATGCAATAAAATTAGAAAGTAAGTTAAACAAACAAAGGTATATGCATAAAAATGCAACTGAAAGACAAACAAGAAAGCTCCTGGGTCAAAGAAGAATGAAAACCAAAATAATAGACTATCTACAAAATAATAATGTAAATATGAGTAGACCAGAGAAAATTAAATCCTAAATTGGCAGTAAAGACAGCTGACCAACCACTACACAGAATCACTAAAAGGACCAGAAACTAGAGGCACCAGAGGCCTCTCAAAGTAGAGGGTGAAGTAAAAGAGGAATTAAAATGAGGACTGTTGACAAGAGCACCAAGACCATTCAATGAGGAAAAAAACAGTCTCTTCAATAAATGATGCTGGGGCAGCTGGATATTTACATACAAAAGAACAAAGCTGGATCCCTACCTCACCATATACAAAATTAACTCAAAATGTATCAACAACCTAAATATAAAAGCTAAGACTATAAAACTCTCAGAAGAAAAGACAAGAGTAAATCTTCATGTCCTTGGATTTGGTGATGGATTCTTAGTGTAACATCAAAATCATGAACAACAAAAGAAAAGATAAATTAAACTTCATCAAAATCAAGAACTTGTATGCATCAAAGGACACTATCAAGAAAATGAAAAGACAATCTACAGAATGGAATAAAATATTTGCAAATCATTTATCTAATAAAGGTCTAGTATTACATATACTTATAAAGAATTTTTACAACTCCACAACAAAATGACAATAGAATTTTTAAATGGGTGAAAGACTTGAATAGATGTTTCTCCAAAGAGGATACACAAATGGCCAGGTACATAAAAAGATGTTCAACTTATTTGTCATTACAGAAATGCAAATCGAAACCACAACGAGATGACACTTCACACCCACAAGGATGGCTAGAATCAAAAAGATGGAAAATAACAAATGTTGGCAAGGAACCCTCATACATTGCTGGTAGAGAGGTAAAATGAGGCAGCTGCTGTGGACAACACTTTAGCAGTTCCTCAAAAAGCTAAAGAGAATTATGATATAATCCAGCATTTCCATTCCTAGGTAGATAACCAAGAGAACTGAAAACTGATACTTAAACAAATACTTATACACAAATATTCACAGTAACACTATTCATAATAGCCAAAAAGGTGGAAACAACCCAAATGTCCCTCAATGGATTAATGGATAAACAAAATGTGGTACATATAATGGAATAATACTCAGCCAGAAAAAAAGAATGAAGCACTGATATATGCTACAACATGGATGAACCATGAAACATTACACTAAGTGAAAGAAGCCAGACAGAAAAGACCCCATATCATATGGTTCAATTTATATGAAATAGCTACAATAGGTAAATCCATAGAGACAAGAATGTAGATTGGTAGCTGCCGTGGGCTAGGGGAGGACAGGGATCTGTGGACTGGAAGACAGTCCAGTTGAAGGTGAGGGTAGTGTATTCAAACAAGGAGGTTAAGTGAATGCCTCAGCCTCAGTAACTCCCTGAATATCAGTGATACCAGATGAAAACATATTATAGGGGTAGAAGGGGGATTACTACTCACAACAGCAACAAAACACCTAGCAATAACCTTGAAATGTACAGAATGTAAATGGAGAAAATCACATAACTTTCCTCAGGAACATAAAAGGCATGAATAAATGGAGACACCATGTTCCTGAGTGGGATGGCTCAATACTGTAAAGATCACACCCTCTCCCAGTTAATTCCATACACTTACTCCAATCTTAAAAGCATTATAATGGGAACTTGACGAAATTTTCTAAAATTTATTTAAAAGGATAAATAACAGGGGCCGGCCCGGTGGCACACTGGATAGTGCGCCACTTGGGAAGCGCGGCGGCGCTCCCGCCCGAGGGTTCGGATCCCACATACGGACCGGTTCCCGCTCACTGGCTGAGCGAGGCACGGGAGCGGCACCGAGGGTTGCGATCCCGTTGCCGGTCCCCAGTCCGGTACGGGGGCAACACTGAGGGTTGCGATCCATTGCCGGACACGGAAAAAGACAAAAAAAAAATAAAATAAAATAAAAGGATAAATAACAGCCATAAAAAATTAGAAACATGGGGAGGGTGAGGATTGTGTTAAAAGTAATGGTTTTCAAAAACGAGCAGGAGTAGCTATTCTTACATCACACAAAATAGACTGTAAACCAAAAAACGTAAAAAGAGACAAAGAAGGCCACTATATAATGATAAAGGGATCTATCCAGTTAGAAGACATAACAATCATAAACATTTATGCACCCAATACTGGAGCACCCAGATATATAAAGCAAACACTCTTAGACCTAAAGAAAGAAATAGGACCTAATAAATTAATAGTGGGTGCTCTGGACACCCCTCTCTCAGAATGGAACGGATCTTCCAGGCAACAAGTCAACAGAAACACAGGATTTAATCTGCACCTTAGACCAACTGAATTTGGCAGATATATACAGAACATTTCACGCAACAACTAAGGAATATACTTTCTTCTCATCAGCTCATAGAACATTCTTCAGGATAGACCACATTAGTTCACAAATCTAGTCTCAGCAAATTTTTAAAAACTGAAATCATTCCAAGTATCTTTTCAGACCACAATGAACTAAAATTGGAAATAAATAATAAGCAAAACTCTGGAAACTATACGAATACATGGAAACTAAATAATAGGCTCCTGAGTAACCTATGGGTCCAAGAAGAAATTAAACAGGAAATCAAAAAATTTCTACATACTAATGAAAACAAAAGATACATCATACCAAAACCTGTGGGATACTGCAAAAGCAGTACTAAGAGGCAAATTTACTGCAATAAATGCTTACATCAAATGAATGGAAAGCCTTCAAATAAATGACCTAACACTACACCTCAAAGAACCTGAGAAACAAAAACAATCCAAACCTAAAGGTAGTAGATGGGAAGAGATAAGCAAGATCAGACCAGAACTAAATGAAATAGACACCCAAAAAACAACAGAAAGAATCAACAGAACAAAAAGTTCGTTTTTTGAGAATATAAATAAAATAGACAAACCATTAGCTAGGTTAACAAAAAAAAAGAAGACCCAAATAGCAAAAATCAGACATGAAAAAGGAGACATTACAACTGATACCACAGAAATACAAAGAATCATTAGAGACTATTATAAACAACTGTATGACAACAAAAATCTGGAAGATACGGATAAGTTTCTAGACACATACAAA